CTGGCCTGAGAACGCCTCAGCATTCCCCCGGAGGAGCTGGAGGAAGTGTCTGGAGAGAGGGAAGGCTGGGCATCTTTGCTTAGACTGCTGCCCCCGCGACCCGGTCCCGGATGAGCGGAGGAAAATGGATGGATGGATGGATGTATTATAGATCAGTGATAATATTACTTCCCACAGTACCAAAGGCATTATGTTTGTGAGTTGTCTGTACGTACATCTGTCCATCCATATCTGTCCAGCTCATTCTTGTGGACATGAAATGTCAGGAAGGTATTTCTTCAAATTAGGCAGAAGTATCCAATTGGACTCAAGGATGAACTGATCAAGGGTTAAAGGTCAAGGTCAGTGACTTCATATTTAGCGCATGCCCGTGAATCTGACTGGTTGGCAGAGGCATACAACTGAAAAACTGTAATTCTAGTTTATTCATGATATGATTTTGTGTGTCTGAAATGCAACATACAGTAATGCCTGATAATGATTTTTATGTCAGATAAGACGTCTGAATTTAACTTGTTAGTATGAAAGCATTTTTTGTATGGATTCAGTATATGTGAAGATAACTGTCAGAGAAAAACACAAATTAAGAATGTGAAAGACAAAATATGAGCAGTATAAAGAAAAGGACCGGACCTATAGCATCACACCTCCTATGACACCAGTGTGTCTCAATGTATTACTGTTAACCGATGAGCAGTTAAGAGTCCACCTACCTGTTATGACCCTCTGGGCCTCATATGGTTCCATGTAACCGTTGTTCTCACAGGGAACAGGTCCTAGATCTGGTTCTGGTCGGTGGTCTGAGCGAGCATCAAATGGGTCAGAGTAATCTGTGTCCCCTGCCAGCGGAGCAGACGGCACCACCTGAAGGACAAAAAACACACTTACCCATAAGGAAAAGTGACTCTTGGTACAGAATGGAGGAACAATGTCCCAACCCTTTTGACTTTGTACAGGAATTTAAAAAATAACTTAAATATTTGTTTGTCTTTCAGGCACAGTAACAATCACAGGCTATAATGACTTTCATCCAGCATATCAGCATTTTGTAAAAGCTCAGTCTTTTAAATGAAACAAGTGTTTCTCCTATTTTTTTTAAATACTCCCCCCCTTGTATTTTAGTCTTACACATTCCTTTACTTTGGGTGTTGTGATTTTGGCAGTCATTGTTGTTGCTACTAGATACCTGAATTTCCCTCAGGATCAATAAAGTATCTATTTATCTAACAGTATCTCAGGAGATAAATCTTAAAAGTCTTTGGTCTGAAGCACAGAGTGTTCTGCACAGACAATAGCTCATCAAGAGCCAAGACAGATGACTCAGTGCTACCTTTCAACAAACAATCACATCCTCACTGAGCTGTGTGTCAAATATGTTTGGTTACAAACAAAACGCTTCAGAGTATCAACAGACTAATGTGTATCTTTATTGTGCAAGAACACAATACCACACCGAATGCTATTTAAAACCCAGACAATATAGTTCCACTTTGAAACCTTGAAGAAAAAGCAATATTGTACCTTAGTTGCCACATTTATGGAAAATGTTAAAGAGCAAGAAGCCATGCAGTCAGTTTTTTGTATGTAGGAAGAGAGGACAGAGAGTAAAGCAGGAGCTGGTTGGTCAGCCTGGAGCATTTGTTCTATTATGCAAGCACAGGAGGAAAACTGTGGTCAGCTGGCACAATGACAGCTACAAAGGCAACCATATGGTCTCATACTCACACATACAAATACACACATGTGCACACACCTACCAACACGTACACTCTTTGACAAAGGTTCTTGGGCCTTTTCGCTCTCCCTCTCTGACAATGAAATCACTCTAGCGAGCGCCCTAAATTCCAGCTCAACACACACACACGCCCTTGCAAAATTATAGCCTAATCCCATGATGATTCCGTAACAGGTTATCTATTGATGCACAGGAATCTGCAATGTTAATGAGAGTGAGGATGTTCCCACAAACCCTGGGAAATTAATGAGAGCAGGAGAAGAGCAGGGTACAGAGGGGAGCTATCGACCTCAGTTAAGACTATTACTTCAATCCACTTGAGGACTTTCACACTTGTAGCATTTTCCATGAGGAGAGGAATGGATTTAACTCCAGCTTTGAAAACCCTGAAATACTCCTTAACCTACTCAGCATATGTGAACTGAATTAATGCACAGACCATATCCTGGTAAAACCTTTACTTTTGCTCCAGTCACTCTCTGAACAAGTATTTGCCTTTTTTCTTTGCAGTGGTTCTCTGTTCTCCACAGCACAACATGCTGAGTACATAGGCAGCACCAAAACATAAATTATACCCCACTGCGGCCCTTGACACATCAGCATGCTGTGTGCTGTATATTGCCCCCAACATGTGCTCATGCAGGAGTCTCTCTCAGCTTGGAAAACCAAACCATATCTATTATTTATGAAAGAACATAAACTCAGGGGACTGTGAACATCTCCAATACAATGGTCCACACCATCAGTAATTCTTTTCTTCAGCTAGAGTAGCTAATGTACATGGGATGTAATGTGATTTATGTAAATGATGTCTATTTGTGACAAACATTGCCAGTCACTTGCTTATGTAGTCTGAACAATAAAGCTGCCACTGTAATGGAAAAGGAATGAGGGAGAGAAGTGGGACAGTGTTTTTGTTCACTTGCCTTCCCTTCATCCCATCTCATTCTACATCACAAGACAGGAGCCACATAAAAATATCAGTTTGTCATCACCTGCTTGATTTGTACATCTACAAAAACAAGACGTGAAGCAGAGGCTCTTACAGGCTCTTGCTGGTCCTCTAAAGAGACAGCACTGAGGAGGATCTTGGTGCGCCCCAGCTCTTGGGAGTCCACTTTGATCAGTCTGTGTTTAGGAGACTTCATGTCCACACTAGAGGACTTCATGGGAGAACCATACACAGGTGTAGCAGGATCAGAAGTCCCAGATTCACCCCTGATCCTAGTCTCAGAGTCCTCATAAGGATCCTCAAAGTCCATGTCCCTCTGAAGCCGATATGCTTTGAGGATCTCGCTCTCTGTATAGTCTGGTGTGGGCGGCTGTGGAGGCACCTTCCTGCTGCCAAAGCTCAGATAGTCTTTCAGCCACTTAGCCATCACGGCTCTCTTCCCAAATGTACTGGTGTGTGATGGAGAGCGCAGGAGACTGCAGGGGGCACACAGAGACAAACACTGGGGTTATCGTTTGACCTTATTTCAGATTACATTATGTGACTGTGTTTTTCTGATTGTGAAATCACGACTGGAAGATTAAAAATCTATTCTTTTGCTATTTTAAAAATAACATTAATCCACAGGTCCCGGTCCTCTCATAATATTTGTGCTGTAAAACTTTGTCCTGGTCACAGACACCCAGTCAGTGTGCGTTTACACGTGCTCAAGTGAAATTAAACAGCACCGACGGCTTGGCTTTATCCACTCCTTTTGTTTTACGCAGGGAGCAATAACGTCTGGCATCTGGACTTTGCCCAAAGGCTGCAATTACATTTCACACCCCTGCAATCAAGTCTGACGTTACTGCGCTGATAAAAAAAGGAAAGACACAGACTCGAAGAGGATATTAAAAAGTAAAATGTATCAAAGAAATCGAAGTTGGATTCAATTCAAGCATCTTATTTCATTTTTGTAATTTCAACAATATAAAACCCAATAAGCCGATAATTAAAGCAGATTGCTATGTAAACCATGAAAAGTAAGCCATTTTTCTTAAACTTTTTACCAAACCACTGGATTTAAATACCTCACTTACCAAGCCTAATCAGTCCTTCAGCCACTTTGGATGCTTCATTCCGCGTCTCTTCATGTCAATGGAAATAAAACAGCACAGAAAAGCGACAAAACCTTCGGAAGCTTGCGCTTTTAATTCCACGACAGGACAAGTAAAAAGAAAAACAGTCGCTTTCTAGAAACAAAAGAAGAGCACCGAGGTCCAAGGGGGTTCTTGTAGCGATCTGACTGCAAACGTGCGAGTGAAGAGACTACAGCTCCGTCAGAAAGTCAGCCGAGCGATTAAAGGGGAGGTGCTTCGTTCCCAGTGGAATATCCTCCTATTCCCTCCACCGTCAGTCGATTGTTCATTCATTTAAATATCTGCAGATCATACAGGCTGCAACAAGAGATAAACCCTCCATCAGAATCACAGTAGCTGTATGGGGAAAACATGTGCTCCAAAAATGTGCATTATTTATTCATATGACATCACTGGAGAATTTTATGTTTTGGCTTCAGTGAAGTTTTTTTTTTTTACCAGTGATTTAGTCTTTTCTCCATTTAACTGCAAAAAGACCTGAGGGTTGAACAAGTGTTTTCGGCTCCCCCTTAGGGGGGTTTGGTGGTAGAGGACAATCTCATCGTTCTTTGGACAGTATAACAGTTACATTGTTGTGAAGTTTATAAGCAGTGTATAGTATAGACACAAAAGCCCTCCTAATCACATAGACAAGATGACAGAAACACCCAGGCCAGGTTTGTTTGACCCTTTTTTCTCTCTTTGAGTGTGTTTCATCCTCTCACAGATGTCCCATTATCCAAAGTCCTGGCTATAGCAAATTGGACTGTGTGCTCAGGCAGTGGGTAAGGTCCATCTAAGTCTGTTCAAAGACTGTAAATAGGTCTTTACGACACTCATGAGCTGACTTTCTCTCAGAGGTGGGAGACTCGATGAGGTCACCGTGCTATAATCTACCCCCACTCCCATCACTACAACCATCAACACTATCCCAAGAAGGTCTACCTATCTTTCCCCCTCCTGTCTGCTCCAGCATTCACCAAGCACTGGCTCCAGACCCACTAGAGGCTCGAGGAGTCCCACAGTGTTTTTGTGAGAAATCTGAAGTCACTAAGCATGTGTGACTGTACTGGATCTTTCAGGTCTGTCATCCAATTTAAATCCATTATAATAAAGAAGAAGGCAGAATCAATTTCATGACATCAGCCTAGCAAACACATTTCTGTGATAGAAAGCCCCTGGACTCCTCAGTCTGTTTAATGTGTCCTTCGCACTATATTAGTCCCCCAAGATGATGTTTTTCAAGAAGAGAATGAGACTGATGGAATAGAAAATTCTCATAAGAACAAGACCGGTAATTATTAGGTGGGGCCACAATCAGTATGTCATGCTAACGGTCTTCTCTGCTGGGAATGAGATCTATTCATTCAATAAGTTGATATACATCTTGTAGGCACAACATATTGACTTTGATACTACAAAATATTTTGTTTGCAAATGTTTTCACAAGACAAAAAATGCCTTTATACTCCTCCTTCCCTTCGTTTCTACCTTTGCATTTTGTCTCGTGTCATCTTTAAACGTGTCTGTAATCTTCCCTTTCTTTTCTCTGCCCCTCCCCTTTTTTCATCTGCACAATCCATCCAGTCCAACACTTCCTCTAACCCCCCTTTAAGCCAGTAGAATATTGAGCATACATTGATTTTTTCCCATTCAGGCCATGGTGAGAGCCAGAACTATATAGAAAAAAACATTGTAACTGAATAAAAGATGGGAAATTAGAGCTGTCAGGCTCAGCATGAGGAAGACACATGTTGGGCACAGGGAAAGGACGGGAAAAATGAAATCAGAAATCTGGGTTTCTCCTAGTGAGATAATCACAAATACAGGCAGATATGCCGACAGGTATAAAGTCATTGTGTTTTTGCATGCAACAAAAAATTGTTGCGCAGGAGCCAACGATTTAATTGAATCAAACAGAAACAACAAGGTGCTGTGGAACAGTGCAGTAAATGAATAAGACTTCCTCATTATAAAGGGCTAAATATGGATGTGACATTTTCTCTGAACTTCACGCTTCACCCATGTTGCTCTTTTCCAGTTGAACAGCATTTATGAAATTAGAAAAGCACAGTGGTATTTCTCTAGTTGTTCAGTTTCTATAGACATTCATGTACAACCTGATCAAGATCAAAAAGATCATCTTTCAAAGCCATAAATATAGTCAGATGTCTTTGAGTTTAATTAACTAGAACATAGGCAATACAGACTTGCATAACTGATTTTCATAGTTTCATCTGCCTTGCATTTACTGCCCTCAGCTGGTGGCTCTTGAGTGCCACATGCGTTCATTAGAAGTAACAACAGTGGCAGGTCTCATTTAATTTTATAGTTTGTGAAAATAGCAAAAATCATTAACGACCAAAAATAGGACAATGGATATGGAAATTGATTAAAAACAAAGGTAGTGTATTAATGTTAGTGGATCAGTATATAAGCTCAGTACACCCAGAATAGAAGGGTAATATTTAGGGTAATCCTGGTTTTAGCAGAAATATTTTTCACTCATCTTACGTTTTATTGAGTGTATAAAACTGCGACCTTCCGGGTTCAACTTCTTCGGTGTTTCCATTGGTTAAAAATCGCTGGGACATTTCACTGATTGGCTAAAACATCCAAAATAAGGAAGCCCCCCCGCGTTGAATGACTTTACTAGAAGTGCTGAAGTCGAGTAAACTGACAGAATTACAAGTTGCAGAATGTAACTTAGTTTACAGCAACCTAAACACAAGATAACAGCACAGCTCTGGAAACGTACCTCCACGCTGTGCTCGTTGTACCGCGCACTCCAGAAATAACATACATCACCGCCAATCAAACTCTGTAGCGGCGTTTT